AACCTTCAAAATCAGAGACTTAGGTCAGTTTTTTTAGCACAGTATATACAGTAATAAACCTTTTCGCAGTTTTTCACCATTTGGTCCCCGAGGAGTACTTTTGGGTTGTGTGCAGCGTTTTCGTGGGGAATTTCGCCTCCTGATTAGAAAAGTTCTTTTCGAGGATAAAATACACATAATTATGTGTTATTTATGAACAAAATGTAGGTTAAGTATAATATCTATATATTAATACGCCATCATAAATTTTGTCTCCGTTCGCTTTGCGATTCTACCGAACCGATTTCAAAACCAAGAACACCATTGGAAAGGTATTTCTCCGTAGATAAGCAGAGTTTTTATGGTTTCAAAATTGGTTCAAAATTACGGCCAAAACCATGGTTTAAACATTTCCGTGTTTGTGTATAGATGTTGCTGCAACATGTTCCATTTGACATATTTCCCATGTTGTTTCACTTCGCATTTGAAATTAAGCTTTGAAATAAAGATAAATATGAAGATGAAGAAATAAATGATAACGATGAAGTCAAAAAAAGGCAAAAGTGAAGATAAAGACGGAAATGGAGACAATGACAGATACGTAAGAATTAGGGTAACTGAAAGGGTAAGAACATTTCTTGAATTTATGAAGTGAAACTTCTTTAGCGCCAGTTGGTTGATTGGGAGTAAATTGTCAAATTCAAGGGGAATAATGCACATGGAAGTGGTTCCCAGCGGTTTAGCGGTTTGAGAAGAAAAACAAACCAAAGATGCCTAGAGATACAGGCAAAAACGAAGATCAAGGTAAATTCGAACACTTTAAGGTAAAGGTGAAGAGGAATATGCAAAAATAAAGATAAATATGAAGAAAAGGATGAGGATGAAGTTCGATACTGTTAGCGATATAAAACCCGATATTGCTATCGATATGTAACTCGATATTGTTATCGATATAATAATCGATATTTTGATCGATACAATAATGGATATTGTTATCGGTATAATAATCGACTAAATAATTGATTTTGTTATCGATTTAGTAACTGATATTCTTATCGATATGTATAATAATCGATACTGATGATTGCGATATTTATCAATGGATTAATCGATTTTGCAATCAATAAATTTTTCTATATGTTTATGGATATTGTTATAATAAAAGTTAATAACGATTAAAAAGTGATTTTTATAATAAAAGTTATAACCGTTACGGTCCTGCCAGGGACCGCAAATAACGATTATTTTTGAAATTTCAAATCAAAAAATCACACTGAAAGAGAAATGCTACGTGAATAAGGAGTAAACCAATATATTTCTTATTACTCGGACTACCTTCAGCGGTGCTGATTTTTATTTTTTAATTTTTACTTATAAAAATCAAGTTTAAACATTGTTTTTTGAGCTTTATTTTTTACTCGGAAAATGATCGTTACGTTTTAAGTTTTAGGCTTTGCTCGGAAAGTAAGGGTTATTTTTTGAGTTTTAGTTTTTGCTCGGAAAATAATCGTTACGTTTTAGTTTTATTTTTTGCTCGGAAAATATTGGTAATTTTTTGAATTTTATTTGGTGCTCAGAAAATAATTGTTACGTTTATAGTTTCATTTTTTGCTCGGAAAATAATCGTTATTAGTGATAGAACGATACGAGTACCGAGTACAGAATATCGATACTTTTCATGAGTCCTGAGTAGTATCGAGAACTCGATACTTTTTCACAAGTACTGAGTAAATATCGCGAATGACGAAAAGTATCGACGAGTTAAGAACTTTTTTAAGTAATTTTTTTTTTTAATTACCCAATAAATATTGTGGCAAACGTTCGAATATTAACTTCAATATCCAATTTGAATGTTATGAAAATGAACATAAAGCTCATTTACTTCAATACTGTCATAACTCAATAAACCCAAAACGTGGAAACACGCCTTTAAACTTTTTAATTCACATATCGTCACCCTCATATCAGAAGCATGAATGTGCAAATTTATCAGTTTTGAGTTATTGGGTTGACTTGGTTAATCTTTGGATTTTCTATGTTATACCAAAACCCAGAATATCATGCGTACACGGAAAGTAAATATTTTACAATTTCAATTCCATAAACGTAGAGCTAAGTCTCGCAAAAAAACTTTCAAACTTGATTGCTCTAGTGAGCTACTGGTAATTGACACAGTTATGAAATTTTTACACAACCTAGAAGAAAATGTAGCGGTCATTTCTACATTGGCTTCAGGTCAAAATGTTTAAATAATTGAAAAACGAATATCTTGCCTCCCCTTTGATAATTAACTCGACAACTTGGCCACTCTCCAGCGTAAGGCAGCCGTCGTTAACCCATGTATGCTACCTTCGTTGTGAAATCCAGCCCATTCTTGAAGAAAAATTTTATAAAAGAGATCTTATTTTTCCAATAGAGAATGGGCTTCAACACATTTGCTTCTCGTCTTCTACATTTGCATTTCATTTTCAAAGAAAAGTTATTTATAAATACATGTATTCGCTTTTAAAAACTTGGAAATAAGCATTTAATTTACGCAAGTAAAACTAATTTATCGGAAGTTTATTCCAAAAACTCCTTTAGATCAGATTAAAACTATTAAGAGCAGTGACTATTCAATTTACAAATACGAAGACGGGAGAAAGCAAAGCGATCATATTTTTGTTAACTTTTTGCGTTTGCTTTGAGAATACTTGGAAGTACGAGTATTATCGATACTTTTTTGTAAATATGAGTACTGGCATCGATACTTTTTTAGAGTTTTCTATATGAGTACTAGTATCGATACTTTTCTAAAAAGTTCTATCTCTAATCGTTATTTTGTGAGTTTTATTTTTTTGCCCGGAATACAGTCGTTATATCTTGAGTTTTATTTTTTGCCAAGAAAATAAACTTAATTTTTGCGTATGCGTATGCGCATGCGTCAATAGACAGGGGCGGCTGCATTGGACTTTTAACGCCACTGTGAAGTGGTCAGCGTCGCCGAAAGCTTTTGCTGAAAAATCTTCAATTTACCCTGAAAAAATCGTAATTTCGGTCAAACAAACTTTTTTAACAAAAAAAAACATAGAAACAAAATTACATAAATTACATACAATAAATATGACCACACATTTTAAAACCAAAGGGAACCCACATTGCATATGGGTTAATAAAAGTGGATTTGTAATTGTTAACGACAACTTTAAATTACACTTTAAAACACAACTGCTTTTAAATTGTTGAACTCTATTGGTTTGAAGTTTTTGACAATTTTAATCCAGTTTTAAAGTGTAACATTAGTATTTATTAACTGATAGATAATCTTGACTGAACAATTTCCCTCTGCAATTTTTCTGTCTATTTCAAATCAGTGTCAACAGAGAAGATTAGCGATTTGGTTACAATTCTAGAACAAATTTAATATAACTAAAAGCACGGTTGTAGAACAAAACCAGATAAATGCATGGTTGTATTTTGGATTACGTTTTCCTTTAAAAAATTTTTTACATAGTATATATGTAATTTGGTGGAAAAACTAAAATAAAAAATCGTCATTACGGGGGGAAAAATCGCCAAAACGTCACTGAACTAAAAAGACGTCAAAATTTCGACGAAATCATCAATTCGGCAGCACTAGGAGTGGATAATGAAAATAAAATATATAAATACAATATACAAGGGCAGAAACAAAGCCAAGGGCAACGACAAAACCACAGCCACCCACACCCTGTATAGATGGATCAAGCCAATGATAAAGATGACGAAGAGGACAAAGTTAAAGATAAGTAAAAGACAAGGATAAAGATAATGATGAAGGTGCAGATCAAGATAAATATGAGGATGGAGATGGGGGTGAAGATGAAGATGAAGATGAAGATGAAGATGAAGATGAAGATGAAG